AGCAGAAAATAGTTTACGAGGATGTGTTCGTTGGTGGCACGGCTATTCTGGGTGTGTTTGTATTAAAGCATACATATGTCCTGTGTGTACATACCGTGGTGGGATTGACGGGCTTGGCGGAAACTAATCACAGCTCGTTTTTGAGCTCCTTCCGACTAAAAAAAAATGATATAAAAAATCCCTGTTACAATTTTAACGGAAGTTCGGTTTTAAAAATTTATTTAAAATTTAATTTCAAAAATAAATTAGGTTTTTGTTTGAATAACAATTTTGAACAACTCACGCCGAAGCCACTAAATATGTGCGCGACTTAGAAAGTCTCTTAGAAATCAACAACTGTACTCGATTTCGTTTATAACAGTGAATAAACAATTCGAGTCTAGTCTTTACGCCACCGTGTGTGTGTGCAGTATCGAAGTGTTCTAAAAATTAACAACTAAAATAGATCTAATTCAAAATAATTGTGTGACCATACAGTTAGTATTGGCATTCACGTAGTGGTGGGTATACAGCCTGATTTAAGCAAAGGTTGTACATTACAGACACATAAACCCCGCACGATCCAAGTAAGGTACGCGAACATGCCCACGTGGCTCGGTATTTCACACATTTTTTTAAAAACATACACACGAATTTTCTTATTCTTTTAAACTCATTCGCTGTCTTCAAGTTCCAAGAGAAGCTAAGTGAGCCGAATGTTGAGGGCGACTGCTCGATAAAAAAACGAGTTTAGGTACACTTGTAATTCCTTCGCAATGGTGACCTGACTTACAACACGACGGGCTGTGAAGTTGTTTTGAGAACTATGACGATATAGTACTCTTGTCAGTGTCGGGCTCCCAACATTTGTATAAAGTCATAATTTTGCCTGTCAGTAGTTGTGTATGCAAGTAACCGCAGTAATTTCTAAATTTTCTCTAGTCTTAAACTTATACACAGAAATGGACATGGTTTGGAAGCTGAGTATTAATTAGAATTCGATTCGAAACATTTTCTCATCTGATATTCCTAGTATATGAAATCTAAAAAAAAAATTATCCCAGGATTTAGGATTGATCTGATGCGGACGTGATTTACATATGTTATGCAGATTTCAGATAATCAAATAAAGATATTGCATTTGATTAATATACTGATTGATACAGTGCTGCTAATCAAAATGCCACACTGCCGGGTAAAAAAAAAACTATCTCCTGTACTTTAACACTAGTTTGCCTGGTGACCATTCACCGGCAGATTACAGTCTAATTCATCTGTACAGAAATATACATGTTTCCTCAAATTCAAACTGCCCATCTACCGATTAAAAAAGTTTGTATGTGTTTGGATTGCGCTTTCAAATTAAAATTGCAGTATCTATTTACTAGCATTTAAATAAATAAATGTTATTGTGTTTTTTTAGACCCAGTGCACAGAAAGACGAATACATATATATCGATATTATCAACCAAACGATGAAAACATTAACATTATCTCAAACAAGTTACAATTTTATTTCGGGCTGAATTAATTAAAGGGAGATTTTGTGACGGAATGTATGCAATCCCGTAAAAATAATTATGGGTTCTGAAATTTATCACTGAGCAAACAACTAAAAATTCCATTTACAAATTATTTAAATAATTGTGTATAATGTTTCCCTTGCATTGTAACCCACGTAGAGATGTAGGAATTATAATATATGACAATAATAATATTGACAACTATGCGCTTTTATTTCATTCGAGACTGAATTACATGAACGTACACATATAAGTATCAGCCCCGACAAAAAATAAACTAATAAAACTATCCCAGTATGGATTTGTTGTTGGTTTCAAGGCAATTGTCATTTGTGTCCCCCACTGAAGTGGCCTAGGCTGTTTAATTACAACTCTGACTTTTTCCGTCAAACATTACGTATATTTTATTGTAATTACAATTAGTAGATTGTATTTAGTTGACTTACGTAACACATTGTGATCAACTGAAGTGACGTAATCAGAATACACAGGGTGTCAGCACCCACCAAACAATTGACATGTTTCTGTTGGCTGTGCGCCTCTGCTGTACGCGTCACTGTTTTTTATTTGTTTATACTTTTTTTTTAATATAGAAAAAATTAACAAAACCAGATTTTGTTCAATCCATGAATTTGAAAAAAACAACTTTAAAAAAATTCTGTTTTTTTTTTTTTAAAAAAGCTCATTTGTACACTGGCTTATGCGCCTTTGGAGCGACCTTACGGTTTGTGAGTGACTATTTGTCTGGTTGACGCAGAAACAACAACAGCGACGACAACGATTTTAACAAATTGAAGAAATAAATGGTGCTGTGCTGCCACACTCCACATTAGACACAACTAAATATACAATTGAAGCAAAAATTATACAAAAAATATACATACATATTATTAGTCTAATGGATCTAAACATAATAGGGGATATGTGAAAACATAATACATATACATAAATATGTTATTAATTGCGAACCACGTCTGTTTTTGGATCAGTCTACGTCAAATGAAAACTTACTTGGACATACGAAATTTATAGCATTTGGGTCATGTGACCTCATTTTGGAGCTTCTTTTAAGAAAAAAAATATGATATGGACACCATACGAGGAGATTCGAATTCAATGCGAACATAGAGACTGTGCTTTTAGTTAACAGAGAGTTTATTATTATAAGTATTGTTCCTTTCATACTTTAAGTAAAATATCTTAGTGAGGAGTATTTTTCTTATTGGCGGATTATATGTTAAACACATCGTATGTGTCTGCGGAATTTAATGTTCGCATTCTATATGCTCATCCAGATCACTACGCCGAGTTTCGTTCCCAACGTTCCCACCTTCAGCATGGATACGAGTGTTAGTGTGCGGTGACTCGATGCTGGAAACCGAAAATAAATATCTACATTTCTGTACCAGTTTAATTTGCATATTATCGCTGGCGATAATCTCACTTTTGAAGTGTATATTATTAATTATATTCCATTTTCTGGATGTTGAAAAAAAAAAGTTGAAAAGAACCCTCGTGGTTTCTGTGTAACGACTCGCCGCTAATTGTAGTGTTGTTTGTTGTAAAACATTTCGTTCTGAAAAAAACAAACACGTTACGATTTTAAAGTATCAGCGTGGCAGACTATCAGGGCGAAATGAATGAGTCTGTTTACCGAGAGAAGCCGTCAGACCACGTCAATCGTTCGCGACATTGAAAAAAAAACACAATCCCGCAGTAGTGAAAGAAATAAAAAAACGTAACGGCCCTTGAACGAAATTTCCATTCAGATATCGCTTAATACAACTTTCCACAGTTGAAAACATAGATATATGTACAGACCCACAGTCTTGTTTCCGAAAACAACGAATTTTGATTTTTTAGTTGCATTGTGACGGTTTAATCACAGTCTGTACGTTTAAATGAAAACTGCCTCGCTGGGGTTCAGTGAACTTCGCATCTAAGTGTCGTTTTCGCCAGTTCTCTGGCAAAATGCGAACGGTCTGATAAAAGGCCTTGTTCGAATAAAAAAAAATGGCAACTGGCGACGAGGTGACCCAATAACACATCGCACAAGGTCGCTGCATTACAAAACAAAACAACAAGACTCAAAAAAAATAATAATAGCAAGACATTTTCTCACTGCGCAGGAGATATTAAACGTGACATTGGTTTTAAAACGCTAATTTGTTCTTTTAATGCACTGTTTGGTACCCTAGCAGAGGATGATCCAAAGAAAAAATTGTCGGTTGGTGACGAAATCTAAACAGCCTGCAGACAAAACCCACAACACGGCGGTAACACATAAACACTGTGTAAACAGACTACTATAGCGATACTGGGGACTATGTTGTCTTATTTATGCCTCTTGTATCGGACCTCACACCAAGAAGCGAGTACTCTAACCTCAAAAAAAAAAATACTACTGACAGTAATTTCTCGACTGCTAGCACAAATTGTCGTCTGCGTTCAGTTCCCGCCAAACGACCCAATGCGAACAAATTTCACGAGGACAACAAGCCGTGTTTTGACATCGAGCTCCACACCTGTTACACACGAGCAATTACGTTCATATTTACGTAATTTCGAGAACAATTGTATAATGATTTAAACAACAAAAAATACTCTCAGCAAGGTGTTTGCGCTGGCTAATCAAGTGAAACGTAGTAGATTCCTACCGGTTTGATCGTCTGTCCACTGACGACGCTAGGGGGGTGACGGCCTATATCCGGGGAAATGCGAACATCGCTTGCAACCAGGACGGGGTACATATGACGCAAGGACGGCATAGCTGCCTAGATACTACTAATATAAGAAAAGTGTCTAAAGTACGGGAAAACATAATAATCTCGTAAAACTTCTGAAGTTGCCGATTTACGTAGTTGTTATTTGTTCACTCTAGCTGCCAGGGTCTCATCGCCTTCAACCCCGTCTTATTTAAGGGGGTGAACATATAAAGAGATTAGTTTGTGTCTAAAAGTCGGCCATTAAAATATATAACTGTATACAAGAACCGTTGAATTCCTTAAACATACCAGGGTTGTTGAATTGGGCCATAAAAACAGGGAATTTTTAGGTCGCGATGGAATGTTTTTAAACAGACGATTGTCTTTTTCGAAGAGCAAAATTGGAAAATTTCTTACGGCGTGTATATGCATTCTGACGGGTAATTGCAATGCTAGAGGGGGGCTAGAGGGAAAAGGGGCCCTGGAAGTGGGTGATTTGTTCGACTAAATGTTTAGTTTTTCAGCAGCTGTAAAGAAAGATATAAAACCCCCCATTATTATCATATTTAACGTCCCGGGTTCCACGCTATAAAATTTTATAACCCTTTCTTCGATTGGTCGTTGGGGACTTCAAAGGATCTAAGCACCGCAGTGATTGGTCGATGTTGACTTCACAGGCAAGCCGCTATCACATGATAAAAGTTCAAGCGGTTTTACGACCGCTCCGAAATCGTAAAAACTTTTCAGTGGAGAATCATAAAAGCGGCCGAAGCGACCCTAAATCACCTAGCAAATGACTTCTTACTTCGTTAATTCTTTGATTTCTAAATACCAACCGGGAGATGCTTGGTTTCCGAGTGGTTTCGAGCCAGTTCCACCATGCAAAGTTAAAAATAGCTCCGCCTGTTTAAAGAATTCCCCGTGCTCGTTCACAACGTATGGGGCTGTACAACTCTACCAACCGACCACGACCGCGAGCAGCTACCAACAGCATGGGTATGTACAGGCATGTAACTACTCGCACATGGGCTATGGTGACGTCACAAACTACCCTACTATCTGTACCACCGTGTCGGGGAACACCTGGGACGGTAGGGGCTACGATGTACGCCCAGAACATTATCATGCTACGGCAGCCAGCATAGCAACGGGGCATCATTTTAGGAAAGTGTGTCTACCGCCCTCAATGGATTCTCCAATCAGTTCGCCACAGAGTGTGAAAATGCCGGTGTACAGTTGGATGAAAGTCCCAGGTAAGTATGTGGAATCCCGAATTAAAAAGAAAACCCCTGTAAAAAAATAATATCAAAAACTTAATTTTTCAACGTACTCAGGTGAACCAACCGCATTTGTATTTTGCATCCAAATATATTCATATAATTTTAAAGATAATATCTCATGCAAAATTAATGAAATGGACAATTACGTGGCAGACGTTACGTCACCTGAAAATCAAAACTGCAGATATTAAGTCAAATAAGTTTGAAAGGCACCCTGTACTTTTTTTTATTTAAAAAAAATTATGCTGATTTTAGGAAATTAACACAAATTTGTCTTGCGCGTGCATGGTGCAATGTATGGATACAACAGGAAATATTTAATTAGAAAATCACTAAATGGAAAGATACCTTTGTGAAAAAAATAAGTCACATAATAAATTAGGTTGTGACATTATTTTTAGGAGCGAATGACACGTTATAATTTACAATCAATTTACGGTGTCGAGTATTTTTTTATTGAAAGCAGGTCAGATGATATGAACAGTCGCCGTCGACAAATTTTAAAATTCAAATATCATAAAACGAACTGTATAAAACATATTATAAAATTTAAAATTAATTTTATTTAACTCAACTTGTCCGCACACATGGTCAGATTTTCGTGGTAATGCGAGAAAGGAGTGAGTACTGTATCAAAAACACAGTTATTATTGACGAGCTGTCTACACTTTGTAACGCTGATGCAATAAAAACAGAATTCAGATTTTATTACCTTGATGAATATGGGACGGTTTTAGAAAAAAAAAGGACATAAATTTGGTGTTCCCCGACCGAATAAAAATGAAAAACATTCGGATGATGTGGTCATTCCGACGGCACGGACGTGACGTGTGATCAACGCGGGTATGCTAGAACACGTGTAAGTATTCTTTTGCAGTTTGCAACAAACTGTCATTTTTTATCATTGTGCAAATTTCAATAGCTCAAAATCGTGTTTTATGGTGCAGCTTTATCTTTTAAAACCATTTCATCGTTTTTCATTTTAAACTTTTTAATTGAAATAACTTTGTTTTTAAATTTTAAATTATCTATATAGAACACAACACTGAATACATACCGACTCACTCGATATTATACAGAGACGGAGGAAACGGTTATATTTTTCTCTCCCCTAATCGCATTTTTTTTAGTTTTCAAATATTTTTAACAAATACATTATTTATGTGCCTAAATTTTAATGGTTTTAAATTGTAAATATTTGGGTTAATTATTTGTTGTGTGTAGAGCATAAAGATGTTGAATGTCAGTCATTTGCATTTGATTAAAAATAACGTAACAGATTGTATTTGAAAAAGTCGCAGGTACGCACGTCCGTGTGCCAAATGTATATCTACGCGTGAATATACAATATACGAAGTGGTTTCCTCATCATTTCTTGTATCGCGTTGCTCTGCGTCCAAACTTTTCATCCTACGGATACATATGTCGCCGTCATCAATTTAATGTTTATATGCGTTCGTTTAATTTAATGCAGTAGTTGATTTTTTTTTTAATTCTACAACAAAGTTGGTTGCAAACGAGTTCCCACGTGCATCTTATTAAATGGAGTGCCAAGACCGCGTGTATTCGTGTTTATTTCGAGTTAGTTCCCAACGTGACTGTTCTCGGCATCGACCCTGGATCACTGACACGCTGGATCAATGGTACACAGCGATTTTTACGGTCGCTGATCTGAAATCTCACCACATCTGTGTTTGCGAACGTCTTCTGAAGAAAAAAAAAACAATGCGGCTGGCACGACATTATAAACTTCCAGAACTGCAACTCCTACTAGAATATACCGTTTTAGTGTATTGCGAGGTCTTTGGCCCTCCATCGCACACAGATTAAAAATAACAACAACTGCTGAAGAGTCGTCGTATACGTAATATAATAACATTATAATACCATATAAGCTTCCTGTCAGAAAACTTTCTTAAACAAAAATGCCGACATTAACAAAATAATAACATTGTCGCATTTAACTGTAAAATAATATATTTTTAAAAGATGCAATGTTTTATCATAACTCATCTTCAATGTTAGATCCTCCATCCTATCGTTATATGTTAGATGTTCCGCCTTTTTTGCGAATTTACGTTGAATGTAGCTACATGTTGGCTCTGTACACCGACATAGTCCGCCTCCCACATATTCGCTAACAAATATAACAAAAAAAGACTTAAAGACAACCAGTTTAAAACATGTCCTTTCTGATATAAACTATGTTTAGCATTCAGTTGTGATTGGGTTCTATCGGGGTAAATGCTAAAGATGTCCAAAATTGGAGGATTCGCGTTGTTGCCAATTTTCTGGCCATCCTGCTTCCATGTCAATTTCAATATTATTGCGGCAAGTAATGATATTGTACTCAGCCTGAAATGTGAGTAGTGTTGTAAAATGCAAACAAAAAATGTGCTCATTGCGGTGTTCTTTTTTCTCCCCAGGTACCCAGATTGTCGGCACAGACCGACGCCGCGGGAGACAGACATATACGCGCTACCAGACTCTGGAACTCGAGAAAGAATTCCACTACAACCAGTACCTGACGCGTAAACGGCGCATCGAGATCGCACAAATGGTAAACTTGACGGAGCGGCAGATTAAAATATGGTTCCAAAATCGACGGATGAAAATGAAAAAGGAAGGAAAAAAAGGTGCGAATGAGAAGTCATCTGACGACGATGAAACTTACAGAAAAATGGACGGGGACGATAAAAGTGATAGCGATGCTAGTGATGTTTAGTTTTCTTTCAAAGTATTTTTTTACACTTTCCTCTATAGAGCTTACTTTGCTTCACCCCTTTGCAGGGCGGCTCCAGGGTTGTAATTTACCCGGTTTGGTTGGCTGTAAAAACAAAACAAAAACTTAAATATTATTTAAATCGAGCTTATGAACTTAGTAATCTCTTGGATCCGCCCCTGATGGATCTTTCGCAACAACACTTTCGGATTCTTTTTTTTTTTTAATTTAAAATTTATTAAAGTACCAAACAAGTGGGACCGGAATGAAACGATTTCAGAATACGGCAGCCGCCAGGGTATATAATATTAAAAAACAAGTTAGAACAAAGTAAATACAAAGATATAATTAGTCTTCGCGTGTTTTAGCCTATTCAAATATAATTAAAAAGGGTAATTGCCTGAAAGGTATATTTTCTTGAATAATTGCGAACTCAAATTTTTAGATATACTGTAACTAGGTATTTTGTTTATTCATTCGCTCAAATTGTAACCAAAGTTTCCCATTTTATCGGATATAAACAAAATGTAAATATATCATTTTTTTTTTATTTCTAAAACTTAATATGTATATTTCCAGATTTTTTTTATTGTTTTACATAAGTAAATACATTCAGAGTTCATGGCAGTTTATAATACTAGAGGCGGCAATCTGTTGTTTTTCACTGCCAACATAGAAATGAACATACTACTGTTTAGTAGCTCAGGCTAAGATATTATATTCTTATATTTACTTATTAATAACGGTATGTTTATTCAATACTTTTTTTAGCATAATATTATAACTATAAACACATTTTTATATTCACTTATTAATAACCGGCATGTTTATTCAATATATTTTTAGCATAACAGTATGAAGACAAATATACGGCGTATACGTTTAAAACTGCCTCATTGAACAAAAGCAATATTTAAGAATTATGCTCAGAAACGTAACTATTGGAACACCAATATTAAAACGTAGAGCATAAATATAAATTAGTTGTAGGAGAAATCATACTCATATGTGACGTCATAATAATCAGAAAACTTATTTTCACGTATATATATATAATATAAATCTGTTAAATATATTTTATTTCTTGACAAACCTCATAATAGAAACTCGTATAATTTGTATTAATAAGTATATTAGCTATAAGTCTCTTAACAGTGGGAGTAGAGAATCAACAACTCCATAATGTGGAGTGTTTTTTTATGCGTTACCATTCGACAGTTTGTGTTCGACTTTATCGCTGAACACGTCATTTATCTGCCCACCTTAAGAACGCTGTTGTTATCCAGCCAACTCGACCCGGTGTATCCTTTGAAAGACATCGTGTGTGCTTTGTTTCTTTTTACGATCTGACATGCAATTCCTCGCTGCAGGATCGGATAATATACAGAAACTCGTTTATTGAATGTATAGTTGTGTGCATTGTCCACAAGGAACTATTCGATGTAGACGGGCATGCACAGCTTCCTCTCTCGTCGACTGCCCCGCCAGGGTCGTAATTCTTTCCCGATGTTTGGATTTTTAAAATATTAAATCATAGTATCTGTGTGTGTCATCGCAGCACAGTAAACACGTAGTCAATATACCGCCCAACGCGATAAGGAAAACAAGTCAGTGTGGAGTAGATAAATAGAATCAATTTATTGACCGTCTATACCCAGCCATACCGCCGTAACCCGTATCGAAGCGTAATGGGAATGCCTCGCGTACTATACGTGTGTGTGTTGAGTCTGTTCGTGCGCGACTATGTGTATGAGACACATGTACATTTTATTTTTTTTTAAATCAAAATTTATTTTCATAAGGGTGACAACTTCTACTTAAAATACTATAAACTTAGACGTAAATATACGATTTTGTTTACTTCCAATTTTTGGCGGTTTCACGCACGACGGACACTTTAGTGTTTTATATAGCTGGCCTGGGAAGCTGACGTGACTGTGGACAAAGTTACTATGTCCGATCGGGGCCTACCACGACCCATGTCGGAAATTTCCACTAGGTTCGTCTATCTTTGTTGGCGGATGATGGCTTTGCCAGTTTTTTCCTGTGTGGTGGTTGATTACAACTACGATAAATAATATTCCTGAGTAATTTTTAGGGCAGTCTAAAGCAAACGCGGCATGATTTTTGGCAAATTTTAATAACGTCGGCGACAATTTTGATGCCTATTGAGCAGAAGCACGCGTGTAGAATGGGATTATTTCCCGTAAACACGAGGGTCGTGTATCCAAAATAACCAGTTTTGCCAGCCCGAATAACGTGATCTCCTTTTTTACTGACGCCGACAAATTCAAAAAATGCGTCAATTAAACTGCGACCGAGAGTAATTGGTTGGGACTTTGTTAAGTATGTTAATACCGTGTGTGTATGTATGTATACGATATACCCATCGTTGGTAGTGGGTGCATTCAGTCGGTGAGTGATCGAGACAGGCCGCATTGCGAACTAGTGCAGAGTACAGGGCATATGTACTCATAAATTCATAGGGATATTACAAACATAGTAATTGAAACATTTTACTGGGACGGATGAAGGCTATCGGGTTTCCACCGACACAACATGATCAATCTGTCAACAATGTACAAACCATACACTGTACACGACGTTGTTAGATCGTTAGCAGTCGGTACTGCAGCGACGTTTTTCGTTTTATGTTGTGCGTGCATGTGATTTCAATTCGTTGACGGACGCGTGCTGCGTCTTTATAGACGGTCATGAGATCGGTGGACTATGAGTGCATGTAAGGGGATGCCGTCGAGATCTGGACATGCACCCGTGGCGACAAAACACCCTACAATCTAATACTTCGGTTCAACCATTTTATTGGCGAAATCATTTTTATTAACAACCTCTCACAAGTGCCCTACATTTTTTTTTATAATTCAAATAATAAATTTAAACACTCAGATAAGAGCTTCCCCTATTTGACCCTCGTGGCAATATTTCTTTTGAGATTCTGAATTGAGTTAGATTGTTAACTTATTTCCATTAAAAAATAGAATTGTCAGCGATATTTTGGGCTTCATTCAAGTTAGCTTTTGACCTGTTGCTTGCCATTCAACTCGATTATTCACTGTAGTCGGTATCACGGTATTTCGATTTTTTCTATATAAATGTTACCTGACATTGACATAATTTATTATATTTTATATTTTCCTTAAGTTTAGTTTCTCTTCGCTCTAAAAGCATTACTGTCATTTGGCGCTAATAAGTATGGATTGCCAGCCTCAAAAGTTAATTGGAAATTCACAACAAAATTAGCCTAGGCTGCTCCACGTATCTCTGCTGTTTTTGTTTTTTTTCAAAATGCAGTGTAACACTAAATTGCATTGCGACAGAAGGTTGTATTTACGTTTTCTATGTGGGTGGGTGGGGGTTGCGTCGGTCAGGGGAGAATCGTGGATTTGGAATCGTGAAAAATTTGTAAATTGCGAGTGTTAATATGAATTCTCTTAGCAAAGTCGGATAACCAAGGGAACGTGAAGTAACTTCTTTCTTTTATTTAAAAATAACGTGCATAGTTTATGTTGCTAGTAGTTAGAATCTATTTACAGCCATGGGCACTCGAAAGGTCGCTTGTAGTGAAATAAATAAATATATATATTTTTTAAACCGGAGACATGGATATAAGCAAATAAAACAAACACTTTTTTTTCAATATATCAAATAATGGTGCTTAATTATTTTCTGTTCATGACGTCATCTTTATGCAATTTAACAAACAACATTTTTCAGAATCGGTATGTGTTGTATTTCATGTTTTTTTCTCTGTTACATTTTTTGTTGAATTACGTTGTAAGACCAGTCGCATTGTGTGTTTTTTGTTTGTTTTTTGTTTTGTTTTATATCTAACTTTTTCTTTAAAAAAAGTATATATAACTTGAATATACTTAATGCCAAACGCTGCCTATATCGATTATTTACATTCATTAAGAATTTTTGTTTTATTTCTGTAAAGTTTCTCAGAGAATTAAATAAAAACTAACATTTACTATAAGTTGGTCGATCGACATGGGTATATACGTGAGCTTTTGCGAAAGTGTGCAATTACTTGAACGACTATATATAACCAATCTTGTTGTGAACAACTAAATTTGTTTTATTTTGTAAATCTATTTTGTCTGTCCCGTCTAAAACAAGAGAATTTTAACAAAGCTAAAAAAAAAAGTTTTTTTTTGTGAAAAATATTGTGACAAAACTAGAACATTAAACTTTACTATTATATCAGGCGCTAGTCGGGTAAGGGTCGATTTGGTCACATGACATCCTTTCTCGTCTCATTTGGATTTACATCCATTGACCTGATTTTTATCGAAAAACTCAGGAGAAGAAATTGCAATTGCTTTTAGAATTCTCGCCGAGGGCTAATCGAGGCGGTGTTCCTTTGATGTTACACCGGCAATAGCCAGATGAATAGCCAAGCGATGAAATGAAAGCCGCCGCTGGGACCTCAGGCTCGTTCGCAGACAAAAAGAACGCCGTAAATTCTCCTCTAATATGAAGTTGTTTTATAGCTTGAAGATTTGTTTCCAGTGCTAAAGGTGTCGGTGGACGATTATACAGTCGGTGCAATTCCCCTTGTCTTTATTGCAACAGTGAAATTGGAATTTCTAAATAATAGAACCCTGGAGAGTGAACCAGGCAAAGACATGTATTTATCAATATTATAACATTTTTATATGGCAGATATGGATATAACTCAATCCATTGGTTTTTACATTTTGGGTGGAAATTAATTGAGGAGGGGCAATTAAAAGCGTATTTTGGCTAACGTCTGGGGGTGATTCCGTGTTCTTTGTAAATGCATCAAAGGTTGCGCGGTGTCGGCGCCACGCATTCGTTTTAAAACGGTTATATATATATATATATATATATATATATATATATATACTATGACGAAATCAGATTTAACACCCTCGTAGGATGGACCTTGGTAAAATATTTTGCTGTTCAATAAAATAACGCAGTGGCTAATATGTTGCATTATTCGTTGAATTAGTATG